ACAACTACAGCTAATACAAAGTTGTGGTAGAGTGGCATGTATCAAAACTACATTATAACATGGTTTAGGTTTTGGTAGATAGTGTAGTGATCATTTTTGGGAGGGGTCTGTAACAGCCCTTTCCAATGCAAAATATTTATACAATCATATTGTAAAGATCAGTTCATATTGGGATTTAGAATTTCTAAGGTAGGGATATCCCTTGTACTCAATGCCATTGAAAACAAATGAACATGAATTAACCTGGGACACCAGGACCATCCAAAAAGAAACCACCAATAAGTCATATTCCAGCTATGATAAACAGAGTGCAGCTTCTAGTAACAAGTGAGAATCCAGGAATAGAAAAGTCACTGGCAAAAGCCATCTACATGTCTACAAGTTCCTTCCATGACATATCCATTCAGCTGTCACATATCTCAAGCAGCTGTAAAATGAAATGGGTATTCATGCATTAAATAATAAAATATACCTGTCAAATTGTTATATGCATTACCTGTAGATTTCTGTATGATCAGTGTTGAAACAGACACTGGAAAAACATTGTTTTCATACAATAGATGGATTATGAAAAGCTTGTAAGTAGGTGTGATTTGCTTTGTATGTGATGACCTTATGATGGAGCCTTTTACAATTGAAACTATGCTACATGGCTATTGTCAAGATGCATAGTCATGATATAGCATAACTGTATATGAGGACATGAACTATAATGATGTGGTGAGGCTTCCAAATAATTTTAATATAACATACTCATCCTCTGTAGTAGTGTGGTTCCATTACGAGCTTGTGACATCATTCTTTATCATTTGTAAAAAAGATCATATTGAATTGAAGAAATGTGGTAAATCAAGTTCAAAGAAACCTGAAGAAACCCTAGACATTTCAACAGGTGAACCTGTGTTCTTGCAAGTTGAAGTTATGCAAGCTCACCTTTCAAGAGCACTAGTTTCATAAGGTTTCTTTGAATTTGTCTTTTGTGTTTTTATTATCTTATTTCAAGTAGTAAAATTATGCTGAAGTTTTAGGCATCAGAATAATATATGTTTGAAGGATTTATAGGAAAAAGCCTATTTACTGTTGAAAGTAGGAACTAAAGAAATAACTGCTCTATGCTCAATACTTCTTTCTCTAAGGACCAAGTTATTCTTTTATACTTAAAACTTTAAGGAATTGCTAACTACTGGGCTTATGCAAAATATGACTAAACAATGTTTTGAGTTGTAGGTATATGTGCTCTCTACATTATCTTATTATGATAATGGAAATGTATTATCTAAGATTTTTTTTTTATTATACGCTCGTTTTAGCTATTTCGAAAAAAGAATTCTTTCATCAGTGGATCTACTAATAGTTTTCTAACTCTATGAGATCTTAGGGTTTATCTCGTATATTTAAAACTCAAAATGTCACTATTTTTGATTGAAAGTTTCAAAGATAATGAATAATCTGCAAACTGGTGCTCGAACTTCCATCTGTTTAATTATAATAATAAGCTTGATAAGATTTATAGATCTTAAGATCTATAACTACATTTCTTCCATTATCAAGTACTCAAACAAAAAAAAAAAAAAAATATCATTATAAGGATCTAACATTAAGTTATATGCAGTGTTAAAATTTGTTTCTCTTGTTCCAAATCTAACTGTTCTTTTATATGTGTGTGGAGCAACATTTTTTAAAATCAATTATTTAGATTATAAGTGCATGTTTAAGTGGGATTAGGTTCCTGAATATTGGGTATATAATGCATGATTTTGAATTATTAATCTCAAGTACATGTATATTTGCATGCCAGATGTTTATTGTTCTCCTTATAGTAAGAGTAAACTGGTTTTCTATTTTTACCTCATACACAACACCATACAGCAAGCTTACAAGCAGTCATCAAGCCAGCCTTGTCCAGAACCATTCATTCGTATGATTATGCTTCTTCATTTCTGGTTCATTCTACTGTACTCGTATCAGACAGTTTATGATTTTTTCAATATGTATTTGATTATCAACTCTGGCCACTGTTAGTATATGTTTTCTTTTTTAATTTTTAAAAGAATCTCAGTGGTATGTTGCCTGGTTGTTTCTTTCTTTATTCATGTTTTTTTTCAAATGAAAATAAAATCTCTATTTAATGGTTCATGGGTTGATTTGTATAAATTTAAAGTTTTCACTTAATACATATTAAAATGTTATTGTGTAGTGAATACTGCCTCCATTAAGTAGCACTGATATGTTGATGTTTATTTCAAACTTCCTGATTAGCCCTAGAAACATTAGTTTTACATGTTGAAATGCAGTAAAGAAAAAGTTTACTTATGGTGAAATGTGAATTATACAGATTAGACAACGTATTCATTTTCTTTTTCTTAAATATACATGTTTTTAATTATTAAACTGAGATGCAAAATATACTTGAAGAAATAAGTGCTTCTGCTTTTCTCTAAATTATTGCAGAATCTATCTGCTAGAATTTCAAGCAACACTGAAATATTTGAAATGTGTTTAATTGATATATTACGAAAAAATTATACTGGTTTAAGATATTATAGAATAACAATAAGAATAATTTTTGTGTCATATTATGCTAAATACTTGTCTCCAAACTCAGAAATTTTTATTGCCTGTCTTTATCAAGGCAATGAAGACTTATTCCAAAGATTTAATTTGATATATGAAAGAGAAATAGACATATTTGAAGTTTTTTCAAACATCAATGATTTTATACATGTTTTTTAATGAATATCTTGTTCAGTTGGGGTAAACATTGGTATTCTGAATAGGATTATTCTGAAAAATTAAGTGTTGTATTATTACAGATATTATATGCTAAGAAACAAGCTAGAAGGAAGAAGTGAACAAGGAATTATCGTTAAATCATAGCATAATCATGTTTTTTTCCTTGTGCATGCATGCCTAATCACTTTTGTTTGTGAAGAATGCTTCATCCTGTATACCGATGTTGTTAAAACATAAAGTAAAGATGTAAATTGTCCAATATATATATGAAATAGCTGATGAAGTAAGTTAATAATTGGATACTTTCAGCTCTTTGATTCTAATTTTGGAAATTCCTGACATTCCAATATAATTTTATGTCTTTTAAAATGTGTTTAATTTTAATTATTGTCATTTATCATAAACATGTGTAGTTATAACTTGTTATCCATCTGCACAGCTTACTAATTAACTGTACAAGGCTCAATCTGACATGAAAAATTCGATGTAGACATACATGCTGCACTTCATAACCTACATAAATAATTTAATTGTACAATCCTTGGGAACTTACTTTATGTGCAGCAAAAGCTTATATCAGGTGAGCTACACACAATTCCATTTTTTATTGTCTGTTGAATAAAAACCACAACAGACTATTTTACCTTTCATTTACTTGGGTATGCTTCCCTCTAAGTTTTGTCTTAGTGAGTAGCTGAATCTATTTGTACTGTAGCCAATTCATGATTTGTACTTAAGACTGCTAATCTTGCATTTTGTTTTATGTATTATGTTGTACATCAAAGCCAGCTTAATCTTACCAGTAGGGAGGCAGCAAAATCTCTTGGTATAGCCATCTGGCTGGACCTTGCTTACCCTTCCTTCTTCTAAAATGTTAGTTTTGTGCATTATGTACTTTATGTTAAATACTGATGAATGTAAAAGAATGCTTCTTTTCTCCACTAGTGTATCATTTGGCATTATTAAAAGAAGCAACTGTAACTACTACCAGTTAATCTCATTGTGATCATAAGATATTCTTTAAGGAGTACTTCAACTGATCAGAAGACATGGGGTATAGTTTATTAAAGTTTTACATTTCACCAGCTTCTTAAAAATGTGAATAAAGGTGTCACATGATCATTTCCTAGTAAGAATGAGTATGTGATTATGAAATTTACTGTAATATACTTTTTTATCTTGTACTATGATTACATGAAGTAAATTCTTACAGTACAAAAGGATAATTAATGAAACTGAAACCAAACCTGATCACACTGTATCATCACATTTTAAGCCCTTTTCATACCTAAGCTCTTTGGAGTTTAATTGCATAAAATTCCGAGCACACACAAACACCTTTAAAAGTTGTCAGACTAGAAATGACTATTCTGTTTTTAAAATGTGTTCTCTCTATTTGCTTTTAATTTGTGAGCTTTTTCCAGGAGAAAAAAATGTAGCTAAACATCAAGAATTTTATTGTTCTGTTATGAATTCAGCCATTCAAACTGTACATGTAATAAAGTATAACAGCAATATAAACAACAACAGAGGTAGGAAGTAGAAATGTTTTTTGCTAAGTCACAAAAACATGCTTGAATTCTTTCAATAGTTTTATCTTCAGCATGTGTTTTTCTGAAAAACATTGGTGGGTTGATTCTCAAACTAAGCTTTCCAGTAGACTTTTTTTTTCAATTCTGAACATGTTGCAATATCTGGAATCTGAATTGCCCAGAGGTGTAGTTGAAAGATTGAGTCCTTTAGTAGACTTTTTTTGTTTTGGTTTTAACCTCAATATCTGAAACCATGACATTCCCCTGTAATCCATCCAATCTCCCAAATTTAGTCTCATGTACTTATATACTTGGTGTTAATTTAATCAGTTGTTCTTGATCTTATATATGTAAAGGTAAAGTTACTTTAACTGCCTTGTCACTGTTATTTAAAATTGGAGCCAATAGTGACAAAGGCAATCTTCAAGTTGGTTATTTACTTATGAAAAAGTTGGTGTAAAGCTATGATATTGCTGTTCTAGAACAAATTGTTCACAGTCTGTTGGTACAAGAATCACTTTTTTACCATTATTTTGAAAGTGGTTATACTGTGTGCTAATAACTTGTGTGTAAACCAACCTATACGATTCTTTGTTTTTGTTTGCCCAAACTATAATAATATAATTACATATGCCTCAGTATAGTTAACAAAAGTAATCCAAGAAAAAACTAGCATATTATTAAACAAAGTAAAACAAAACTGTGGGACCCATTTTCTTTCTCTTTTTATTGTAGTCAGTCATATGAGAACTAAAGAAGAGCATCTAAGCACTTTGGAACTTGCCATCATCATCGGTGGGCCAATATGTTTTGTCTGCATTGTTGCTGTAATAGTTCTCTCTATGTGGCAGCAGAAACATAGGCTGCGGCATTACAGACGGCAAATGGAATCAGAAGTGGTTGTGGGACAGCCAATGCTGGGAAACAGTATCAGAGATATGATGGACATGACCACCTCAGGGTCAGGATCAGGTGTGTTTAAGATTTCTCTTTTCATGAAGGGCATTAACTTCATCATCATATAAATTAATAGGATTAGCTTTAGTTTCTGCACTAACTATATTGGTGCTAGATTCCTGGACCTGTTGACTTAAGTATAGGTAAAAAACAGATTAGCACAATAAGTAAGAACTCCACCATTAACAATGGCATTAACTTTTTTTATTGTCATTAGTTGTTGAGAGAGATTTAAGTTTGAACAAAGTCTTCCTGTAAGCCAAAATATCGTGTTTTTTGTGAGAAGAGTTTAAACAAAGGTAACATTTGATTTTAAGCCATAAAACCTACCTTTAAAAACCCCTTGAAAGACAATAAATCTTTTGATGTTTATAGGTTTCATGTTCTATATGCCAACTTGTAATGAAAGCCAACATAGCACAGATTAGGCTTAGTATGCTGTCAGTACAATGGTAGCATAATTTTGTTACTTCATTCACATTGATTAAAATAAAAATATTGCACTTAGTAGATTTGCAAAACAGCTTTTGGAATTCCTTTAAAAAATTAGTCCAATGGCTTTTGGAACATATCACTTGTTTGAGAGTTACATGCCTTCTGTAGATGCTTGTACCTGCCACTGAGTGTTGTGTTTAAAATTCTTTGCATTTTATTTACTTTTGTTTCCCTGTAATCTAAAATATGATTCTTGTGTTGATAAACCTTTAATAAGGAAAATAATTATTTTTTGTTTGTTTTTTAAGTTACTTTAATAATGCTGTTTTCTAGATGAGAAGTTATTATGAAGTAATTAATTTCTAATCTAGAAAATTAGAGCATGTGAAGAATCGGTTGAAAAATAAATTCAATGTTAGTCAGTACATAACTGTATTTCTCTTATTGACATATTCAGAACACATTTGTTTTGAAAGTTTTGTCTCATTGGCCCTGTGTTATAATTGTGAATTTTGGAGCTGGCGAACAGGGTTCAAATCCAGGTGACAACACAAAGTATTCCATAGACTTTAGATGTGGGTACGTTATAAGTGTGATGGTCAATCCCTTAATTAATGTGTATGGTGGGTAGTAGGGTAATGCTGATTGGCTGCCTTCCCTGTCAGAAGTTCAGAATTAGGGAAGGTGGTAGATATCTTTAGAAACTATTTTTTAATCTTTTATTTTAAAACTACTTAATGTAATTGTTATTTAATCAATACCCTAACCACTTAAAGGCTGCATTATGTTGGGATAAAATAATTTTGTAAGATGTTTCTGCCATGTTGCAGAACAACAGATACAAGCACAACAGTAAATCCACTCACAGAGATCTTTGTGGAAGGAGTGGGAGACAGTATGAACCTTTTTATTCACATTTTAGGATTATACAAGATACTTTTAAACAAGAAATAAAGTGAAAGTACATAGTAAATGAATGCCAATTTTTTCATTTGACATTATTTTTCCTACTTGTATCTATTTAGTCATTTGAATAAACACTGAAAGTAAACTAATTTTGTTTGGCTTATTATAGGCTTGCCTTTACTAGTCCAGAGGAGCATTGCTCGTCAGATACAGTTGGTTGAGATTATAGGTAAAGGCCGATATGGGGAAGTCTGGCAAGGACGTTGGAATGGAGAGCCAGTAGCAGTTAAAATATTTTCATCTCGAGATGAGCGATCTTGGTTTCGAGAAGTGGAGATCTACCAAACAGTAATGCTTCGTCATGAAAACATCCTTGGGTTTGTTGCTGCAGATAACAAGGGTGAGTATGTAAATAAGGTAGATTCACTTTTCCGGTTGGTGTATTATAGAAAGATTATCATTTGAACAAAAATTATGAAAAACTAATCTTGATTTCTCCAATAATTTTTAACAATCATTAATTAGTCCATTACAGGTTTCCTGCTAGAAGAGGTCAACATTACAATGATGTTCTTGAAAACATCTGCTATCTTCTAGTTCTAGAGATTAATGTTTTGATATTTTTTGGCATTATAGATCTTTTAAACCTAAGATGTAGTTGAATAATTTCAGTTACAAAAACTTGTCTTAATTATTTAGTCAAGAGAACCAATGAGAGAAATGGCCAAGTCTGTCAACTCTGAGTGGTGCTGATAAAAGTAGTGTTGATATAAGCTGAAGCAATTCTGTCAGTTAACACTTATTTAGATAGTCTTTTTTGAACTTGATAATATGCTTACTTTTCATTAGATAATGGAACTTGGACACAGTTATGGTTAATCACAGACTACCATGAGAATGGATCTCTGTTTGACTATTTAAGTCAGTTTTCAGTGGATCCAAGTGGCATGTACAAGATGGCCTACTCTATAGCTAATGGACTGGCTCACTTACACATGGAAATTATAGGTACCCAAGGTATGTATATTTCCAGCTAATGCCTGTTACCATCTGTGAGTCTAAAAATAGAAGAACCTTTGTTAGCCCTTTATATTGTGGTGAAAAAAATTGGTTATTTGAGCATCTTGTTGGATTTTGTTATATTTTCCAGTGGTGTATGCACATCTAAGGTAATGTACAGGTATTCATGTTTCTAGCAAATACCTCTGTTGGTAAATATGTAACATCTGTGTTGTTAAGGTTTGCTGTTGTACTAAAAGATGCAACTGTTTTGAATATCATGTCTATGTTGTTAGGGTTTTCTGTTGTACTAGAAGATGCAACCATTTTATGCTAATCAAATATTTTTCTTAATTTGTTCTGTACAGATTTCATATCAGGAATATGTATAAAAATGGCACTTCGTGTCTATCTCTTTCATCACTTGTTCAATGACAGAACTGGTCAGCTGGTCTGAATAATGAGAGACAAAAGTGTATATCAAATAATATATATATATATATGTCACATAAAACTTTAAATATACCATTTTTACACAACCATGACTTAAGATCCATAATATAAACAAATTAAGAGAAATGTAAAAAAACAAAAGTCTGTAGACTTACATGATTTTTCATAAGTATTAGGCCTACTGGTTTACAACTGCTTTGTGAATTTTCAACATACAAAACTGGACATTATCTTATTCTTAAGCTGAACATGTACATTATCTTAGTTGTAAAATGTACATCACCTTAATCTTCAGTTAGAATTTTTTGTAATGACATATTCATTATCTTAGTCATCAGCTACATGTGTACACCATTTTAGTATTCAGCTGGAAAGTGATGCTGCTCTCTGAAAACCTTATAAAGCAACCTTATATCCAAACAGGAAAACCAGCCATTGCCCATCGAGATTTGAAAAGTAAGAATATTTTGGTGAAAACCAATGGAACTTGTGCCATAGCAGATCTGGGACTGGCTGTTCGTTTCGACTCCACTACAAATTCTGTGGATATTCCTCCAAACCCAAGAGTGGGAACAAAACGCTATCTAGCTCCTGAAGTGCTGGAGGAAACCATGAATGTCAACCATTTTGACTGTTTCAAACGGGCAGATGTATACGCCTTTGGTCTTGTCATGTGGGAAATTGCCTGGCGTTGCAATGTTGGGGGTAAGGTTTACTGATACATTGCTTATTTTACTGTGAAGTGGGAATGTACAGTATTGTGTTTTTGCCGTATAGTTACAGTTCACTTTTTGTTTCTTTATAATCCTTTCACTCTGTATATACTTGTATATTTCATTTAAGTATAAAATAATGTAATTATAAGTTAACTCTTAAAATCATTCACAATCAGGAGAAATTCATAAACATTTCTAGTGTTTCAGTCATTATTCCTGTTTTTTGTCCGACATAACTTGTTTTAATAAGCAGGTTTTCTATTTGTAGATACTAATTTATGTGTATTTTTGTTCAGATTTTAAATGTTTGTTTTTAGTGTCAAATTTGTTTTAAATTGTTTATCAGGCAGTAACTAAACAATACAGGCAACACATTTTTTTTGCACGTAGATGTGTGTTTCTAAGATATATATATATGTATATATGACTTTTCAAAAATTAAACATAAATGCAATGGTAAATGAGGATCTCATTATTTAGATAATTTCTAACAATCAGTACCATGATGTTTGTTTGTAAAAAAAACTTATTATGGTGGATGTGAAAACATTCCAATTGAAAAATTATTGGTTTTCTTCTAAATGTGTACAATTTACAATACCAGGAATCTATGAAGAATATCAACTTCCATACAGTGACTTGGTACCTTCAGATCCAACCATTGAAGAAATGAGAAGGGTGGTTTGTTTAGATAGACAGAGACCTCCCATACCTAACAGATGGCAATCTTGTGAGGTGAGTTTATGAAATAACAATCTACATATAAACATAGAACTTATGATGAGGGATGGGCGTGGTCTAGTGGTTAGAATGATGAGCTATAGGTCAGAAAGACCAAGGTTTGAGCTCAGAGTACTCTGTTAACTTGGACCTGCATTTTCAGTTGTGAATATGTTATAAAAGAAATGAACAGTCCCACTGTTCATTTAATAGTAGCCGTGTGATTCTTTCTCTAGACTCAGCAGTTCTAAGTTAAAGGTGGCTAAGCCTGAATCTTGGGGTCTTTAACCTACTGTTTAGCTCATGTTTTGCACAAGATATTTGTGGGATTGAAAAACCAGTTAATAACTAATGATGCTTTTTTGTTTGTTATTAATCAATTCATTTTTTTAAATAATATACTTGAAATAAGGCCTTAAACAGTTTATCTTTGAGAAACCTATGAAAAACAAACCAATTGAAAATTTCTTATAAAGTGTTCTATTTCAACAAACATATTCTTTTTGTAGTATATGTTCACGTGGTAACCAATGAAGCAGTGTAGTAATATAAGCTTGCAGGAAACATCTGGGGTTTTCAAAACTTTTTAAATTAAAGGTTCAGCAGTGGAAAAAGCTATATATATATATAATTAGATGTTGATAAGCTTTCATGACCAATTTTCATTCTTCCTTCCATCTTTTCTCCATGTGTCACTGCTCATAATTTCTATGAAGATCCAAACTAGTACTAATTAGGATTAGTACATCTCTCCAAAAACATTTCTTCCTCTAAGCTGTAAACCATTTTATGCTTTTCACTTTATTGGCTTAGTCAAGTTTTTATGTATGCTCCTAATAAGTCTTAGGCAAAAAGTTTGTACTAGTAAAGTACACTTATTATTGGTTGCAGTCTTTATACTGTAGTTCTGCTTGTTTGGTTCTTATGTGAAAAATAATCTTTTTTTTTTATTGTTTACTTATGTATGATCATTAAAGTAAAGTTTACACCAAGATGGAGTGATTTTAACAGTGATGCTCATGTGTGTTAACCTTTTTCTCTTGTCTTGATGAGCTTTTGAAACTTGTTTCATGTATTTGGTGGGTAAATTGTAATGCCCTTCTTTAAATATTGTACACTTTATTTCGGCCATTTTCTGTAACTAGATGTTTAAGGTGCCATTTGGTTATATAGGCTTGGCATTGTCTGGTGGTAAGGACATTTGTCTTGAACCCCATCACTGAACTGAGCTTTTGAAACTTGTTTCATGTATTTGGTGGGTAAATTGTAATGCCCTTCTTTAAATGTTGTACACTTTATTTCAGCCATTTTCTGTAACTAGATGTTTAAGGTGCCATTTGGTTATATAGGCTTGGCATTGTCTGGTGGTAAGGACATTTGTCTTGAACCCCATCACTGAACATGCTTGTTCTTTCAGGCATGAGAGGGGTTATAAAGTAATGTTCAATACCACTATTCATTTGTAAAGAGTAGCCTAGGAGTTGATAGTAAGTGGTATTGACTAGCTGCATTCTCTGTAGTCTATTATTTGAAAATTAGGGATAGCTAGTACAGATAACTCTTAAATAACTTTGCACAAAATTCAACAAACAAACAGTTACATAGCTAAACCTAACTGTTTTTTGTTTTGTTTTTCACCTTGAACAGTAATTTATTAAAATATTTAGATGTGCTTATGAAGGATGACATAAAGTACCATCAACATACAGCTTTGGTTAAGTAATGAAAAATACAGCTTACAATAACACAATTTATTAAACTAAGTGTTGTTTTTATTTATTTGTAACTTGTACCTTCTGATACATATACAGGTTCTGCGAATAATATCACGAGTGATTAAAGAGTGCTGGTACCACAATCCAGCTGCCAGGCTAACAGCTCTGCGAATTAAGAAGACCATTGCTAACTATGGGGCTCAGGGTGATCTGAAGCTGTCCTAAGTAGTGGATTGGAAAAATTCTGTTTGAGGATTAGGCTTGAACAAACCAAGCACTCGTGTGCAGGATCCAATAAGTGATCGTGGTGGCTTGTTACAAGATATCATCATGTTGAACTGAGAGTTACCTGTTCTTTGTGGTCAAGACAAATGGTGTCTGATCATTAAAAGCTTCTACCTTTACTAAAGTAAATAATCCATAAGGAAATCAACACAACCAGTTTTACTATTAACTTTCTCAAAGTGATGCCCCTTTTGGTGGCATTCAATTCCATCTCACAAAGTGGATCATTCTCTACCATATAAAGCAGGTTTGTTACTCAGGCACTTCAGAATATCAGTACCTCAGCCATCTTCCAGTAGCATTTGGCATACCTTTACCTTTCTCAGGTTTTCACAGAAAATACATTTTTTTATTGGCTACTTCAGACTTCAAAGATGGAAAATATATTTAGTTGCAAATTGGCTATTTTATGTAAGGAAAGGTTGAAGGATGTTATTGCTTCACCCCACCCCCCTTGGCTTTAGAAATATATATTTAGACAACTTAGAGAAACTTCTTTCTCTCCTGGTTTGCTCAAAAGTTATGCTTTTGAGCTCCACTTCAGGTGCTATAAGAATTTAGTTAGATCTTTGCAAATTTCAGTTATTAGAAACAATTGTATTTCATTTCTGATGACTTGTTGATAAAAAAAAATGATTTACAGAAGAATATGCTGTATATCTAAAATTTAATTTTTTGTAAACTTATTTTTGTACAGCTGTTAATACACTGGTAAAATGGTGGAAAGTGTATTTTTCTGCTTCTGAGTGGCAAGGTAACTGTGCTAAAATTTTAAGGATGTTTTAAATAATAGACTCTTTCACTCTGATTGTTGTGTTTATATTGAATTACTGTGTATTTTGTTAATTATGAGTTTGTTGGAATATATTTTTAATAAAAACTTAAAACATTAACAGAAAAAATATTCGCACTTAAATTTTCAAAATTTTTAAAAAGGAAAGAGGCTAATACTGGCCTTGAGGTGATATTCAAAAATATATGTGGAATTTTCTTCCCTTCTAGAGCATAATTGATAGTAGCCGTAACCAAACAGCTCTCTCTCTCTCTGTAATTATTGTCATTACAGCTTTGGCATTTTTTGTTTTTTGAGACTTCTAGCTTTCCTTCGTCTGTCTTGCGGGATCTCTTTTATAATTATTTTGCCTCAGTGGTTTGTTTTTCTATCATTGGTAAATGAGATCTTGAACTGGTATAACTATTGGATGAAAATTGTAAATATTTATTTATTTACACCATGTAACAGTATAAGAAATACTTTGTGTAATCCAGCATAAGTTGTTTCTCAGAATTGTACCAGGTCAAGGTTTCATCTATCATTGACATAAAAACATGTCCCACTATCTGTATGATATGTAAAGACTGTTAAAAAAATTCAGATCTACCCAGTGTACGTGAGATGAGCTTAATATTGTTACTTGTAGATGTTGTTAGCCAACCAGATGATTGTATTGATCTGTTTGGTTGTGCTGTGCTTCTTAAATAGAATTTGGTAAAAAAAAATTTCTATTATGCTGAAATACTGTACCAATTCCTCCTGGTATAGCCAAGAGTTCTGCTGAAGCAGTGGTTATAATTATATTAAACCCACAATCCTATTACTAATTCAGAAGCCCTTCATTTTGAGGGTCAATTTGTACTCTACTCCTTTTTATTTATAATTTTAGCTGTATAATTTGTAAATTTTAATTAAAATTAAGTACTTTGTATTGATTACATGTGTATATATGTCTGAAAATGACAAGATAGTTTTTTATTATTATTCTCAGACCCTGATAATATATGTTAGTATCATCAATGAATAGCTATGAATATTTCAACCCATATTTATGGGACTAGATAATTTTTTATTTCGGAGATTGAGGTACAGCTACCTAAGTTATGTAAAATAAGAATATATCTTAAAATATTTGTTTACTTGTTTATTACTTCAACACTTTGTACTGTTTTTATTTGTTTGTTTATCTTTTTTGTTTTCTGTACTATTAGTCACTAGATTATGGGACCCATAGTGAGTGTACGTGAAAAGATTTATGTGTATGTTTTCTTTGTGACTGTGGCGAGCTTTGTGAATATTGCTCAATGTGGAGTGAATTTTTATGATGTCACTGGTTGATTCTGTTACAGAAAATACATAGTTAAAAGTGCCTCTAGAATGAACTTAATGTTTCTGACACTTAACTAAGAATTCCACGTGTAAAGCTTCTCCGATATTACAGAAATTTGAAGTTTTCGGTATTTTTGTTTGTGTTGTTCAATTTAGGATTCAAATTATTTATCATTAATTATTTTTTATTTATTTGTTCTTGTTTTTTGCAAATTTTCCAGAAGTACAAATTTCATTTCCTAGTTTAACATTCAGTCTTCATCACTTAATACTTATATTGCCAAGCTACCATCAGTCTTCATCACTTAATACTTATATTGCCAAGCTACCATCAGTCTTCATCACTTAATACTTATATTGCCAAGCTACCATCAGTCTTCATCACTTAATACTTATATTGCCAAGCTACCATCAGTCTTCATCACTTAATACTTATATTGCCAAGCTACCATCAGTCTTCATCACTTAATACTTATATTGCCAAGCTACCACAAGAAAGCATACTCTGATAATTAAACATAAAGTTCTAGCTGCACTTTGATGCCATTATTCGGATGTGTGTCATAATCTTGTATTGGTTTATTATTAAAGTTTATTGTTATATAGTAACCATATCATTATTTTCACTGTGTAATCCACTATTATCAAAACATTTTAACCATAGCTATCCTATGCTGTAGTTTACTCAAACTTCAACCATGTGACTGATCTAATCTACTGTTAAACTACTAGTGTTATACCACTGACGTTGTGAGAAAAAGTTATACGTATATATATATGTGTGTGTGTGTGTGTACATAATGTTAAGATGCATGTCCTATTACAGTTTAGTAAAACATTGTAAAGATGTATGCACAAATTCATAGTAAAATTACGAGTTTTAACTACTTTTTTTTGAATGGTAAAAAGAAAAGTTGTTAGCATCCCCTTGTGGATACTTTTAAATTACGTTGTATATTTTAAATCACTGGCCTGATGCAACATTTTCTTTTTATTTGTAGTTACTTGTAAAGTTGCATGTAAGAGATTTGATATGTGTGAAAGCAAAATTTTAGGATGAATAAAATAAAAGTATATTTTGATAATTTATCATATTTATGTAAAGGAAACATTTTGTTTAGGTGAATTGAAAACATTTTTATCAATTGATTAATCCTTTTTGTATCTGATGTGTTTTAAGAAGGTATAATTTCTGTAATGTAAAGTGAATTGTTAGAACTTCTATAACTTAACATCCTTTTCGGAGTACAGTATGCCTTAAAGTTACGAATAGTGAAATGCAATATGCATTTGCCAACTTGTTATTCCATTATAATTATGGAATGTTGTACCAAACATTGATCTGCTAACTATGAAATGAAAAATGTTTTAAAAATTTCAAAAGGGAACTTTCAATATCCTATACCAGTGTTCACATTAACATTGTAAATACTAAAATTACACAATGAGTATTAGTTGCAACAAATCCCAAGATTTTTTCCATAAAAGTTCTCTGCCACATGCTGTGTGTACATGCAATTTGAAAATCATTTCAAGTTTTTCATTCATTCTTTAAATTTGAGTGTTTCAACTGAATATTTATGTCCTCTTTACATTTAATAAAAATTATATGTACCCCATATATAGGCACACTTTCAAACCTGTGCCATAAAGCATGTTTCAATTATAGATATAGAAACAAGATTTCTTTGACACTGTATCTTACACATGATCCTTTCTGATAAGCTGCATTTTTAGTATACTAAACTTCACAATACATAATTTGATCATTGTACTTTAAACAACTGAAATTATCTTTCAATTGGGTAATGATCATTTGATGTTTCTTAAACAACTAAGCTGTTTAAATGTAATCTGGTGGCCCTTGGCTTGGTTAAAATCCAAAAGATTCCAAATCATAAAAATGGGCATTAATTAAATAACCATTGTAGAACAATAACAGGTTTGTTAAGGGTATTTTACCTTCTTGAAAATGTATGGTCAATGATTTACTTCAATTTGGAAAAACTTGTGAAAGACATATAACAATGTTATATCTGAAATATGCCGACGAATTTTCCAAATCAGTGACTTCTAACATATGTTAGGTAGATATTTCTCAGTTGGGGTTTGCCTATAAGTTTGATTATGTTAATTATCATACATCCCATGTAGTTTGAGAAACATTCCAGGTTGAATTAGCATAACCAGCTATGTCGTAATTCTGAAATGTTAAGTATAAGTAATGTATGTTCACAGTATTTGTGTACTTTCTAGAGTTTATATTTTTTAAAGTAACATACTTTAGACCAGGATGTTGTACTATCACACCATTGGTAGATTTTCAGAATAATGCTTTTTTAAAGCAACTACTCTTATTCTTACGCCCCCAGTATGATAGTATTGTTTCATATCTTTCAGGTATTAATCTAAGAAAGTGAAACATGTTTTTTTTTGTATTAAGTCCTGCAATATCACCATATTTGCACATTCCATATATATGTACTATAATTAAGTGTTATGTAGCGTAACATTTCACTTTCGGTCAAAGTTCCAAACAATACAAATGTACATTTTGCTGCACAAGATGTTCAGATTACAGATTATTAGAATTTAACTTCTTTTTATAGAAAAGGATTTTAGTGAACACCTGATTTTCATGAATTTATACATTCATCGATCTGTACAAAAAAAACAGATAAAACTGTGGAAGGAGATCTTCATTTTAGACACCATTTTTATTGACTTGTATAAGTTCTTTAGTTGTACAAAACAACCTTAAACAGTCAATATTATTTATTATTCTGTAAATCAATTTAAACATGACTGAATTTCGCAGATTTTGCCATTTCAGACCATAGTTGTCGGTTAATGCCATACGTTTATAGTGTACTTGGAGAAGATTCTGTTTCAGGCATATTTTTTGCAAGTATCCTGCTTATGTTTTGGCAAGATGAAAAAAGAAAAAGCTGGAAGTCATAATTATATGAAAAATTCAAACATTCTTGCCTTTTGTAGTAGTATTGTGATTTTAAAATTTATATTGTATATAATTCCTTTGATGTCTATGTATATTTTACTAATTATATGTGATGATGTTTTTTTTTATAAACAAATTCTAAAGTAGAAAAGCAAATAGTTCATCAGACATGTGTTATTTCATTTAAAAACCATACATTGAAACATACTTTTAAGTGTTAAACTATAATGTTTAATATTTGTTTCAGTTGATGGTACCATAACCTGCTAAACTTAATACTTTCACCACATTCTCACTTGCATGAATTGAAGAACACATGTAATTACTGAAATAAGTAAATAATTGTGTTTAACTATCTTGGAGGAGTCTTTAAGAATTATCAGTGCTCAGTGAACTTGACTAACTGATAAATTTGAGTTTTATTCAACAGAAGGAATATGAGACTGAAAGATGTTAGTTTCAGAAAATGAAAAAAAAAAAAAAATACTACTGTGTGTCAGTAGTTTACTTTTGTCATGTGTAGAAAACAGAAACACACAGTTAAATAAAAAAGCTACAGAAACATAGTTAACTTTTATCTATGTTCATGAAAATGTAATGGCCAAGGTCATAATGTGATTTGTAATCTCTGTTGAATGTTATTTATTTGAAACATTGATCTTTAATAAAATTCAGTTCTGTTAATGATAATAATTTGCCATTCCATTTTTACATTTGCTTTTTTTTTTAATAATTTGAATAGGAAACTACCCTTGCTTAATGCCTTATTGGTCATAATTTATGTAATTAATTGAAGGTTTTTCATTCTCTGTATCTATACAGTCTTAAGTTACCGCAATGCAATGGTTTTTACATTTTACTTTATTTCAGTCAGTTTCTTATTAAGTATTTGGAAATATAATTGCAAAAGTTTGCTCATCAAACTTGTACACTAAGAATCTTTATCTTAAGGTATACAATAATTTTAATAGGGTGGCTGATAAGTTGAACATTATTTGTAGCTCAAAGCATATGTTTTGATTTTTTTGTAGAAACTTAAGTATTGTATTTTTATTTATGATTAAAGATGTTTTCATTACCTATACACACCTGATGGTTATTATTCTATTGTTGAAATTTTTTAAAGCTATATATATATATATATATATAGAATAATGCTCTAAGCACAAGCTGGCACTGATTTTAAACATTTTATCAGGAAATTAATGTGTGGTTAATTGAATTTTTTCATTTTGAAAGAAGTGTTAAAGAAATAAGATCTTCAGTAAATTCTTCAAAAAATAGTTTATATTAGAAACAAAATTAATCTGCTAAATCAAGGGTAACCATAAGGCACATAATTAGTTTTAATAAACACAAGGTGATAAAGTGAATTTCATGTAAGTTGTATAATGTTGAAAGATTCGGCATGTTCTGCGAAAGACAAAAACAAATGTTAATCCAAGAAGTTCTCTTCTTACCATCTCATGTTAATGTGTAGTAGATAATCACACTCCAAATCCATGTGACGTTGCTGTAGCAGGTTTGTGGTTGGTTTTTGAACAAATCTTTGAATATTTACCAGGTGTCAGGAGCTTGAGATGGTCAGTTTAAATCTATTTTAGTGCTTTCTGTGTTAATTAAAGGGTTTTTTTTATATACATGTGCTTTGAACTAGGTACTTGCAGGGGCATTGGATATCTAATAAACGTGTGGTGCCCAAATAACCAATATTATCTATTGCTGAAATTGATACACCATCATATTGACATGCATTCCCTAATGTGAAAGGATGTACAAAAATTAGCACAATATGGTGTAAAATATTTATAGATGTATCTATGTATAGATTGCTGGGGTTAAGTGTATATATAAAAGATGTATTTAATGTTCACCTTATAATGGGAGAATCAATCAGGAAAATTGCAAATGAAATATGAGCTTAACTAAACGACTGAGTTTGAACTAAGAAAATAAACAGGAATGGACTTGTTATGTAAAGTGAAATAAAATTTTATTGTATACCTCAGAGCACAAAACACACTGTGCGTATTTATGTATACACTGAACAGTCAGTTTCTTCACACTAAAGGATCAGTGAATTGATCAGGAGCTTTTGTCTCTTAACCCTGCATTAGTCTTCCGGGGTCTTTATGGACCCCAAATATTTTGTAAACATTGGAACCAACAGATAGAAGCACGTACATGTCTGTTGTTCTCACTAGCTTCAGTATTCAACTAGTTTGTGTTAAATTGTTACACATAGTTTAGGTGATGAAAAAGAAACAAGTTGCAACATTCAATGATCATTTATTGATCAATAAAGGAAAAGATTTTGAATATTAATGTTTTCTGTTTCAAAAATAATAGTTTATTATTATTTTTTAAGTTAATTTTTCATGATGGGGCCTGCTCAAAGAAGACTAATGCAGGGTTAAGACATGTTTCTGTCGACCTATTGACTGTGATGACCAAGTAGAACTGTTCTAAAACCAATACTCCATACCAACAGGAAACATCAGTTTTGTTCATATTGACAAGCATTATCATATGAGTGGTCATTCTCGTATTACATAGCAAAGGCTGTAATATTTAGATATCATATAGTCAACCAGCAAAAGAAATTGCAGTCGTTAGCCTCTTCTATACAATATGTAAAGTTGCAGCACTATCTTTGCAGGCAATATAGACATTATTAGCTCGAGAATAGTAAAGAAACAAAGATAACTAGAATGAAACAACTAACAGTTTTCTGAACTATGTGTTTATGAAAAAACTGCATAGAATCAATCTGAACAATGATTTAGTTTTGTATAGCCTCCACTTTACATACTGTGGACATAGAATATAAATAACAGATGTAAAACAACCTTTTGACAAAGAATCACATAAAACCTTTCATGCAGATTGTAAGTACTTACTTACACAAATATCCAAATTGTTTATTAAAAAATATTCTTGCCACTGTCCTTTAATTTTGCTTTTACATTATGAAACTTTCTGGGTGAAATAACCCTTGTCAAATTTAATAAAAGAAACTAAGTCTATACCTTCCTAAGGAATATATATATATAGACACACACACATTAATATCTAAAGAAAAAATACTATTGCAGGGAGCCCAGGCTTTAGTCCAGTTGGTAACCATCTCCTGGCAGTACCTTTTGAGCACTGAAATCTGCTCTAATGTTGGATCTTTAGTGATCACCTTAGGTGGCTTAAATGGGAATTCCACTCTCAGCATTTTATGGGTCACTTGGTCAAAGGGACCTAGGCATACAAACTCTTCTGTGGACGATCAGTGGTTGGGACCCCTCTTGGGGTCAAAGCACCCTAATTCATCTTAAACTCCCAATGTGGTGGTGGCAGAGGCTGGCTGGCTCATTTGTACTGCTGTCGTAGTGGTAGTGATAGCAGAGGAAACTTCAGGCATCATCATCTTGATAGCTGTTATTTCATGGGTATTCATCTTGCCTCTTTATTCTGAAGACTTGATCAACCCTTGTGTGTACTGAAGCTCTGGAAAGGTTTTCTTCAGCTTTGAAATATATTACACCCAATGGGGGTGGTAACACATTTGGTATCATTACTGAGTAGTGATGATGCACCATGTGATGGGTCATCAAATCTTGCTTTTTCTTGTCTGCCACTGGATCCTCTACAGACTGCACTAAAATCAATGAAGCTGTAGTGCCTTCCAATCTTGGGACATCCATAAGTTATCTATAATAGGACCCTCTACGACAGAAGAGGTTTGTCTAGCCTCTAGTGACCACGAGGCTAACCCAGTTAAAAACACAGCAAGCTCTTCCACATCCGATGCATTGACCAGCAATGCATCTTCATCCATGGGCTCATCCACAGTAAGTTTCAGGCCAGCCCTGAGGTCACAGGTTCTCTCGCTAAAGAGAATATCCTGGACATCATGGGGGAACTCAAGAGCTTTATAAGCTCCACAGTAGAAACAAGAAAGGCCTCAACAACATTTCAGCACAATAAAAAAGCAGATAAATCACAAGCTAGTTGAGAAAGAGACTAACTGTGACCAAACCTTGATCGTAAATACTGAAATTCCAGATTCAAATGCAAGATTGGATGAATTTAAGTTTGTCAAAAGTTCATCTAAGTGTGCAGGTTAAAAGGGGTTTGTAACATGAGGTTACAACCATGAACTATGATGCTAGGCATCAGTCAAATGTTATTTCTATGGACTTTGCATGTATTCACAAATTATATTGCTCATAGGAAATATATCCCGAGAATCTGAAAACTTCCCCGTTGTTCCTGCCAGTGAACTGAAACACATGTTATACTTATTGTTCTTCCTACTAGCTGGTTGTTGCATAAACAGCTTTCGGTTCCAGTACAAATGAATAGGGATTGAAATTGCAACAGGTTTCTACGTACTCAAGCTAAATTAGGTTAGACGACACCAACCATTCATTACCTTTGTTTCTTAATAGGGACTCTCTTTTAGTTACAAGTTTACTACTATTATTCAGCATGATTTAAAAAATGTTCACCACACAGGTGTTAAATTTTGCATCTCCCTAACATACTTAGAGTCTGCTTTTTATTTCATTAATACTGCACCTTATAATGAAACAACTATTAGTAAATTTGAGGCAAAACTGTGTGCTTATTAAAAATGTATCAATCTGCATAAATGAAAATATTATATCACAACCAAATAAAATAGTTAGTACACCGTGTTTATATTTGTTATGATGTCTAAGCTACTGTTTGTTAATTTCATTTACTATTAATTATTTCACCTACTCATGAATATATCAGTTTGATACAGTTGAAATAGTTTCTGCACTACTCCATATGAGAAATACCAGATAAAACTGTGTTGTAAGAAACTTCAGGTGAAAAATGTATCATAAGAAACCTCAGTTAAACTGTTTTCTCTCTATCATAGTATTTTCCAAATATTTTAACGTTAAAATTGAAACGTTCTCTCACTAGTATGAATGAAAATAACAAGTACACTGTATTTTACAGTAAAACCTTCTAGCACATTTATCACATTTAACCTCATAGTCATCAATTCTTAATGTTCAGTTCAAATCCTTTTTCCTCATGGCCTTGTATCCTGCTGTTGTATTCGTTGTGATAATTGATTCAGTAATGTTATATAACACCCAGGTATGATTTTATGTAATGTTCACATACGTGTGTGAAACCACATGCATGCGTATTATATATATATATATTACCATTACTCATTGTTAAATATTCTACTAGTTTATAATATATTTTCTCTGTCTCCCACATTAACTATTTTATCTTTCGAAGCTATGTCTCCGTCAGGATTAATATTCGTACTGTTAATACAGTATCTCAATATACACTCAGAAGAAACATAACTCCATTAATTAGATTGTCGTACTTCCCAGGTACATACATATTTGAGAATCTAGCAAGGAATTCTGAACACTCGCCTAGATTATGAGATTAATTCTTTAAAAAATTTCAATCAGTTGCTCGAAAAGGAAGTGTCACAATGCCATTTCAGTCATTTATTTTTCTATCGTGTAACCACACCAGCTTATAAAGTATATCACGTTGTAAACAAAGACCTTCCAACTGAATTTTCGACTTCTGGCCATCATCGTCAGTTGTGCAAGCTGTTAATGTGCTTGGTATTATATAATCAGTTCACTCCAGCTTTCATAGCTTCTGCTAATGGAGTAGTAACCATATAGTATTTCACGTTCTCTCGGGTACTCGGAAGCAAGGGTCATGACATCTTTTCACTTATTGGTTTTTCAATTCCCTGACTGTCCTAGCTGTCAATGATTGAGTAATACTTCTGCAGTGTAGTACATACAATGCATCTTACCAAACCATTCAATAGGTCGGTCACAAAGCTCCTTCAGCCATTGGATTCTCAGCCATCCTAACTGTTGAGGATCAATCAGTCACACCCATATCAATGAGGTGGTCAACATCAGTGGCCAGTCCAATTGTTGGAGCTGTCTTTTGATTCTGACTCCTCATCATAGACAGCCAGATAAGTGCTCTGGGGACCATGAGTTGCACCATAATCAGTTTGGTGGTTTATTGTGATCGTACCTTACATTTT